GTGTCTCTGATTTGATATCAAGCTCCTTGATCCATTTTGAGTTAACTTTTGTGCATGGCGAGAGAAAGGGATTCAGTTTCATTTTGATGCAAATGGATTTCCAGTTTTCCCAGCACCATTTGTTGAAGATGCTATCCTTCCTCCCATAATAGCACTATTTAATGACCAAAATATCTAGAGACTACCCAAATACCTATTACAGAATGGATAAACTGTCATATACATATATGTGATAAATGGTAGAACACACTACAGTTAACAAGAACAAATGAACCACCACACAAAACAATATGAATGCATCTCTTATAATAAAAAAAGAAGGCACAAAAAAGTACTTTTAAATTCAGAGAAAGTCAAAAACAAGACTCTGGTTACCTCAGAAACTGGGAGCACAGAGGCTCTGAGGATGACAATGTTTCGTTCACTAATGCAATGTGCTGGTTACCCAAGTTAAAAATGGATTAACACTTAGAATACATGTACACTTGTGATTGCGTATTAAACTTCAATTAAAAAGTCAATGAGCTGGGCATGGTGGCACAACCCTGCAACTCGGGAGGCTGAGGCAGGATCACGAGTTCAAAGCCAGCCTCAGTAAAAGTGAGGCACTAAGCAACTCAATAAGACCCTGTCTCTAAACAAAATACAAAATAGGACTGGGCATGTGGCTCAGTGGTCAAGTGCCCCTCAGTTCAATCACCAGTGACCCAAAAGAAAAAAGTCAATGATAATAATGGTAGTACAGGAATACAGAAAACACTGGGCCCTAGAATGAATGTCACACTCTCTTACCTCATGATATTTTATACTCACCTTGCCCAAAAGTTCTTCAAACTCTGGGGACCACTCCTGCATTAATGTGTCAATATCGGGCATGGGCCTAAAGGTACAGATTAAATATGAAAAGGAAACACAGGCAAATGACAGCAGCATTTGGATCAATATATTTTAGGGTAAAGGAGAGATCCTCAATCTGGCATATTAGGATTTCAAGAAAACCTAGATTGAGCAAACCAAATTTACCCAGGGCTTGGGGTTGGAGGAACTGGCTAAGTAATGATAACAGAGAACTATCAATCTTTATGCCTTTATGTATATAAACTTTATTATGAACTTAGCAATTTTTAAAAAATATAGTAAATCCAGGCATAATGGCACATGCCTGCAATCCCAGCTACTCAGGAGGCTGAGGAAGAAGGATCATAAATTTGAGACAAGCCTGGTCAATTTTGCAAGACCCTTGTCTTGCAAATCTGAGCCAGCAACTGACAACTTCTCAATTTCTAAAAAATATAGTGAAAGTGTACTTTTTTTTTCAGGATCTCAGGTTAATCAAATTTGTCCCTAGACTTTAAGCCTCTCCTCACAAGTAATGGTTCATAGGTGGTGAAAGTTACTATGGGTTACTGTGGTGAGAAACATGCTGTCTTACCTGGTGTAGTGCACAGTCGCAGGGGGCTTAGAACGGTGTAACTCAGAGATGCTCTCAATCCATGTGTCAATGGCTTTGGGATTCTTTTCTGCATCTTCTAGGCTCTTTACTTTCATATGTTGCTAGAAAAATAAAGAGACAGCTGACTGAAAATAAATATTAAGGTAGCTTTCTTGTTTTGTATAGACTGGATTAGTCTAGGATGTAGCTCAGTGGTAGAGCACGTTCCTAGCATGTGTGAGGCTCTGGGTTCTATCCCTAGTACTACAATAAATAAATTAATTAAAATTAAGTTTTTTTCACTAGCTCCTCATATCTGTTGCTATTGTACATGTGAGATAGCTGATGAAAAGAGAGGACTGACAGCAGCCAAATGCAGGGTAAGGAAACCACCAGAGTTTGGATCTTAAGTGTCCTCTAAAGGGCCAAGTGGTAAAGACTTGCTCCCAGGATGGTGCTATTGGGAGATAGTGGAAAGGTCAAGAGTTGGTGCCTAATTGTGAATTCTTTAGGTCATTGGGAGTGTGCCCCAAGGGGGATCATGGGACCTCAGTCTCTTCTTTTTTCTTTTTTCTTTCTGGCCATCAGACGGGTAACAGTTTTATCCGGGAGTGGTGGCACAGGCCTATAATCCCAGCTGCTCGGGAGGCTGAGGCAGGAGGATCATAAGTTCAGCCTGGGCAACTTGGTGAGACCCTGTCTCTAAATAAAATACAAAAATAGGGCTGGGGATGTGACTTGGTAATCAAGTGCCCCTGAGTTCAATCCTGGTAYTCTCCGCAAAAAAAGAAAGGGAACAGTTTTGCTCCACCAGGCACTTCTGCCATAATTTACTACTTCACCACAGATCAAAAACAATAGGGTCAGGGCTGGGGATGTGGCTTAAGTGGTAGCGMGCTCGCCTGGCATGCGTGTGGCCCGGGTTCGATCCTCAGCACCACATACAAACAAAGATGTTGTATCTGCCGAAAACTAAAAAATAAATATTAAAATTCTCTCTCTCTCTCTTAACAAAATTATTAAAAAAAAAAAAAAAAAATAGGGTCGATCATGGACCGAACCCTCCAAAACTGTGAGCCAAACAGAATCTTTTCTCTTCATAAATTATCTATAGTGGGTTGGGGTTGTGGCTTAGTGGTAGAATGCTTGCCTAGCATGTGTGAGGCCCTGGGTTCACACATATAGTTCCTAAGCACTATATAAAAAWCAAAATATAGTTATAAAAAATTATCTACAGTGACAGAAAGCTGACTGAAACAAAAACCCTAATTAAATTTTCTAAAGCCAAGTTGGGGTGTGGCTCAGTAGTAGAGTGTTTGCCTAGCATGCATGAAGCACTGGGTTCGATCCCCAGCACCACATAAAAATAAAATAAAGATATTGAGTCCACCTGCAACTAAAAAATAAATATTAAAAAAAAAATTTTCTAGAGCCATTGGGGGGGGGCAGGTCAATAGGGCTGACCACAGTAAATGCCATTTCACATCTACTAAGAAAGCTAGAATTTAAAAAGCAGACAATAGCAAATATTGGTGAGGATGTGGAGAAACTGAAACTCTCATTTATTGCTGGTGGGATTGTAAACTGGTGCTGCCACTCTGGAAAACTGTTTGATGGTTCCCCAAAATGTTAAATATAGCTCAGTGGGGATAGCTCAGTGACACAGCACTTGGAATGGCTGTGCAATTCCATTTCCACATATATTTTCAAGAGAAATAATAATAGATGCTCAAGCAAACATTTGTATATGAAGGCAGGCATAGTGGCATACACCTATAATCCCAGCTACATGGGAGGTTAAGGTAGGAGGATCATAGGTTCAGCCTGGGCAACTTAGTGAGACCCCTCTCTCAAAATAAAATAAAAAGGGCTGTAGATGTAGCTCAGTGGTAGAGTGCTACTTACCTAATATACACAAGGCCCTGGGTTCAATCCCCAGATCATAAAAAGAAAAATCAAAATCAACATCAAAAACACCTGTATGCAAATGTTCATAGCAATATTATTAATAAAAGTGGAAACAATCAGGCCAGCTGCAGTGGCACATGCCTGTAATCCTAGAGGCTGAGACAGGAGAATTATGAGTTCAAAGTCAGCTTCAGCAATGAATGGCAAGGTGCTAAGCAACTCAATGAGACCCTGTCTCTAAATAAAATATCAAATAGGGCTGGGGATGTGGCTCAGTGGTCAAGTACCCCAGAGTTCAATTAAAAAAAAAAAATAGTGGAAACAATCATATATATAAAATGTATATGCAGACAGAGGAATATTATCTAGGCATAAAAAGTGACAATAGTGGGCTGGGGATGTGGCTCAAGTGGTAGCGCGCTCGCCTGGCATGCGTGCAGCCCAGGTTCGATCCTCAGCACCACATACAAACAAAGATGTTGTGTCCACCGAAAACTAAAAAATAAATATTAAAAAATTCTCTCTTTCTCTCTCTCGCTCTAAAAAAAAAAAAAAGTGACAAAAGTTGTACAACTCTGTAAATATTCTAAAAACCAATGAATTTTATAATTTAAAAGGGTGAATTTTTCGGCATGGAATTATATTTCAATAAAACTCATTTTACAAAATGGAGCTGGCTTGGTGTGGTAGAACACACTTGTAATCCCAGCTACTTGGGAGGCTAAGATAGGAGAACAACGAGTTTGAGGCCAGCCTGGGCAACTTAGAGCAAGCCTTGTCTCAAAATACGGTTTTTAAAAGGGCTGGAGATGTAGCTCAAGTAGAGGCTTACCTACAAGCATTGAGACCCTGGGTTCAATTCCCAGTACCATAAAAAAGTTGGGGAGGGGGCTGGATTAATGTCACACCCATCCCTTTTAATAGGTGGTAAAGTCAATTATACAAATGCTGGCAAGGCTTCTACTCTTGGCCCACCCTCTCCAGCTGAGCCCTGTTAAGAGGCCAGTTTTTTCAGTTGTTGATGGACCTTTATTTTTTTTATTTTTATGTGCTGCTGAGGATTGAACCCAGTGCCTCACACATGCTAGGCAAGCACTCTACCACTGAGCCCAGCCCCAAGGCCAGTTTCTTACTGTGATGTTGTGCTGCTTGGAATTCTCTGTTAACCAGAGTGAGAGGACGGTAGGATCTGACTGCTTTGTAGAAGGTTCATCCAATACCAACAAACCAAGGTTGTCAGGCTTTCCATCAGGACGTGGTACCTGGTTAAGGAAAAGGTAGGAAAGTAGAAGGAAAACAAAAGTGAGGACCATAGAAAACCATACCTTCTGTTTTCAATAAGCTGAAAAGGAAGTAGTCTTGTAATTCATTATTATTTATAGTATTAAAAAGCATGCTTGTTTATCATATCATACTGAATATTGTCTAGAAAAAAAAAACATGGTCTTTGAGAACTTAAATACAAAGCTGGATTCATGAACAATTAGAAGGCAAATACAGGAGAGTGTTTTAATATATAATGAGATGATAAAGTATTACTTAGCAACAATAAGTACTTGGAGAACAGAACAAGGTAAAGAATGGCAATGAAATGACATATATTATGGTAGTAAAAGAATTAGCAGAATTATTAGAAGACAGGAATCAGAACTAACATCTAATAAGTCATTTTTAGGACACACTGACTGTACCTTTAAGAATGCATCGATATCCCCGACAGCTGGGATAAAATCAGGAATGAAAGGTTTCAGTTTGTGGTCCAGGTCAATCAACTGAGGTGTGTACCTAAAAGATATTGCCAAGGGAAGGTGAAGGCAGGTAGAGAATGTTTCCTTGCTATTCAGGCTTTTGAAAAAAAAATCCAAGGAAACTGGTCTTGTTTCAGACTGGATAGAGAATGAAAAGGTTCAGGGACAAGGTAGTAGAGTGTGCTTCATTGGAAGGTTCTCATTCTCACCTATTGATGTACTGGAAGAGTTCCTTAATCTCAGCGGAAACTGGCAAATGCTCATAATCTGCAGGATCATAGGCCCTGGGGAAAGGAAAACACCTCATTTTAGGATGCCCAAGAAGAGCAGAGATGGCAGAACCCTGGGTCAACATGTGTGTTCCTGTGACCACAAAGACGTGACCCTGAACCTAGCTTCTGCCCCACCCACATGTGYCTTTCCTGGTGGCTTGCAAGGCAACTTTAAAGTCAGTTATAAATAGCTCTTAATTGTTTTTGATGCTGAAGGACAAAACTGGAGAAAATCTAAAGCATAATTTTTTATGTTAAAATGTAGCATATTGTTTTCCCTTTTTATTTATTTTTTAAATTTATTTATTTATTTATTGGCAGTACTGGGGATTGAACCCAGGGCCTCACACATGCTAGACAAGCACTCTCCTCCTGAACTGTATCCCTAGTCACTTTCCCTTTTTTATATGAAAGAGATAATGAGAGGGGCTGGGGATGTGGCTCAAGCGGTGGCACGCTCGCCTGGCATGTGTGCAGCCCGGGTTCGATCCTCAGCACCACATACAAACAGGGATGTTGTGTCTGCCGAAAACTAAAAAAAAATAAATATTAAAAAAATTCTCTCTCTCTCTCTCTCTCTCTCTCTCTCTCACACACACACACACACACACACTCTCTCTCTCTCTCTCTTTAAAAAAAAAAAAAAAGAGATAATGAGAAAAGTTGAAGGGTAAAACAAGATTTTCTTCCTTGCTGGTGCTGGGGATTAACATAGACTCATGCATACCAACACTAAGCTATACCTCCAACCCCCTAAAATATTAATTTCTGACATATAAAATAGTTTGCACTAAAAAACAAGGGGTATTTTTATGTTTGTTTTTGTTTATGCAGTACTAGGAATTGAACCTAGGGGTCCTCTACCACTGAGCTATGTTTCCAGCCCTTTTTATATTTTTATTTTGAGACAAGGTCTTGCTGAATTGCCAAGGCTGACCTTAAACTTTCAATCCTCCTACCTTAGCACCTGAGTCACTGGAATTGCAGGTATGTGCCACTGTATCCAGCTCAGAAATGTTTTTAGCTGTGTTACTTTATTTATTTATTTATTTTTAGTAGTGTTACTACTAAGCAAAAGATTGGGACAAATAAAATATCCATCATTTGGGAGATGGTTAATTATGTCAAATTGAATATTGCACAGTTATTTAAAAGTATTTCTATTAATACATAAAAATATACATATTAAAAAAACAGTAGAACACATAACATTAATTGTAATTAAATAAAATGTAATGAATGTAATGAACATTGACAAAGTAGCTTAGCAAGATCTATCTCAAAATAAAAAACAAAAAGGACTTGGGATGTAGCCTAGTGGTAAAGAGTCTCTGGATTCAATCCCTACTACCAAAAAAAGAGAGAGAGATGCTGCAATTTCACTTCTCAATGATGTCCTCCCAGCCCAGTATCTTAAAGGAGATGCTTCCTCCTTGGCATGGGTGTCCTTAGCGATAGGCCTTTCCTCACCCTTCCAAAGGGGCTCCATGCTCTTCATCATCATCATCATCATCAGAATCAGTTTCAGATGAGTCGTCATCATCATCATCATCGTCATTTTCACTAAAGCCCCGCTGAGGTGTCAACTGTGAGGTCTTCTTTTTCTCCTGGGATAGGGCAGGTAGACAGAGAAAGGTTCATATAAAGAGAAATATGACTCAGAGGCCTAGTTCTAAAAGTGCTCTAGCCTATACCCCCCCACCCCCAAACACCTGGCACCTAGTCCCCAGAAAGGGAAGGTGGTACTTCCAGAAGGGGTATCAGAGTCTATTTCTCCTGGTTAGCTACAAACTGAGTCCCCACTTTCTACAACTGGGGTACAAGTTCTATCCAAATTATACTTATTACTTAGGAGATCCTGAGAGGTCTGATAAACTTTATTCAAAGAGCTTCAACCCTAAAATTTAGGGACTTTCCAAGAAGAGGATGACAACTCTAAATAATTATTGAAGGAAAAAATGGGGGAAGATGAAACAGGGAAGACACACTAGAGGGTTTTAATACTCACAAAGATCACAAGGAAATCTAGCATTTAATTTGCAAGACTGCTCAGAGTAATCTGCTTGAAACTATCAAAAAAAGAAATTTCATAATCAACCCTGAGCCTGAATTCTGACCAGCAATTTCAGAGACTATGCATTTTCCACTTTTGCTCAGTGATATTTCTCTTCATGGGGTATTTGACCTAGCCATATTTCCCTTCCCTTCCCCTATAAGTTAAGTACAATGACTATATATTCCATCTCAGGATAAGGGATCTTTTGCTCTTGGCAATATAACCTACCTTTCTGAGCTTCTGGCTGTCTATGTACCAACCCACCCTCTCAAGTCCATGAGAAGGGGTCTGGTGGCGCTTGGGACTTGCAGGGGCAGTTGGGATGGGGTCCATGTCTTTGCCTCTGTGGCCTGGAGCCTGTGGCATTCCCTCCCTTAGGACCTGAAGGATGACCAATTGGCCCCCTTTAAAAGTATATTTTGAAAGCTTGGTTTCCATATGCTATATGGCTTATACTGATTCCAGTTTTTAAAAATATTTCATTTATTGTAAAGCAGTTGTTGGCACATAAAACTGTGGCACATTCCAAGACACCAAAAACTGTTTTCAGTCACATATTCCTCTACAAATAACAGATTTATTATACATAGATAAAAATATACTCTAACTTATCTGTAATATTTACGACAGATAATAATACACAGTTGCAGAATTCATTCAATGACTATTGGTATATAATTGATAAGAATCTTCTAGAATAACATTTGCCAAAATTATCCTTGGTCAGAGGAAGCAGGTTTGGCAAAGGGAATTTTTAAGAGTATTAATTGTTGATTTAAAGATCATTCAAGCCAGGCATGATGGTGCATGCCTGTAATCCCAGTGAGTTGGCAGGCTAAGGCAAGAGGCATACAAGTTTGAGATTAGCCTGATCAACTTAATGAGACCTGTCTCAAAATAGAAAATAAAAAGGACTGAGAATGTAGCTCAATGATAAAGAGCCCCTGGGTTCAATCTGTAGTACCTGCCTCTCCCCAAAAAAAGATTACTCAAAAGTAGATGTTTTTTTGCTGATGCTGGGTACATACTAAACTGGAAAGATAAATGAGGCTTAAATACTGACTAAGGCATGTAGACTAGAACAATTGAGGGCGGATATACCAAATTTGGAGGTCAATTAAAGAAAACTTTTCTATTTTCTTTGTCTGCTTCTTGAAAGTTGTGCTTTACAAAATCCTTAAGATAATAGGGGAGGATTTTTTTATGATCAAATGCCTAAGAGATTATCATGTATATAAGATGCTAAAACAGTGTACCTAGTCATGGAGAAAGACTACCTTAAAATGTTACTTTTTAGTCTTTTTATAAAGTCAGCCTATATATTTACAGCTTCCTATATTACCTCAAATATTCTTCACCTGAATTTCTATAATTCCTTTTCTTTTTTTAAAACTTTTTAATTGATTTGAATCAAATGTATGATATGCCAAGATCATTGTATTGTCTCGAGCAACTAATAAAAAAAAGTATCATGAAAAAAAATCAGTTACCAAACTGGTATTTTAAAAAATGATGGGAATAGAAATATGATATATATGTATGTGTATATATATATATATATACTTCCAGTCTCTCTATACACAAATAAGACATACATATACCATATACATATTTACTTTTCATAAAACTTTAAAATAGATTTTTGTGAACATAGCAAAAAAAATTTTAATTTTTTAAAAATAAATGACAGCTTTTTTAAATTTTTTAATTGACTTTTGATAGTTCCTTTTCTTAAAGGACAATTAAAATATGACCATTGGCCAGGTGTTAAGGTACACATCAGTAATCCCAGTGGCTTGGGAGGCTGAAGCAGAAAGATCTAAGTTCAAAGCCAGCCTCAGCAACTCAGCAAGGCCATAAGCAACTTAGTGAGACCCTGTCTCAAAATAAAAAATAAGAAAAGGACTGAGGATATGACTCAGTGTTAAGAGTCCATGGGTTCAATCCCTGATTCAAAAAAAAAGGTTGTTACACGTGCAACTTCTCCCTGGATAGAGATAGAGGTATCTTTCCAACTTTCTTTCAGAAACAGGGTGATTTCCTAGGTTGATAGGAAAATAGGGTCATCTGTTTCTTAAGACCTCAAAATTAAAATCTCTTTCACAAAATATTTGCAATATCACAAGTGTTGATGATGAAAAAATTCATAGACCAATAATTCTTAATTTAACATGAGAATTACATGAACTACTTATTAAATATAAATTCTCAGGCTTTGGCTTTTGAGATTCTGAATAGGGACTGGGAATCTACATTTTTAAAAGTAAGTATACCAGTTGATTCTTAGGATAAGTAAAGTTTGTGAAGCACTGGCAGACTTTATAGCAAATTTTCACCAAAAAGTCATCTGTAATGATAGGCTTAGGTCAGGGATGTAGTTCAGTGTTGGAGCACTTGCCTACCATATACAAGGCCCTGGGTTCCATTTCCAGGACCTCAAAAAGAAAAAGAAAAGCCAGGCATGGTGGTGCATGCCTGTAATCCCAGTGGCTTGGGAGGCTGAGGCAGGAGGATTAAGAGTTCAAAGCCAGCCTCAGCAATTTAGCAAGGCCCTAAGCAACTCAGTGAGACCCTGTCTCTAAATAAAATATATAGAAGGGCTGGGGATGTGGCTCAGTGGTTAAGTGCCCCTGGGTTTGATCCCCAGTACTCCCCCCCCMAAAAAAAGAAGCATTTATTTCTGCTGAAGTCAAAATCTCAAGGCTCTTTGCTCCTGGAATTTCCTCCATGAGTACAAACGTACCCAATCACTGGCATTGAGCATTCAGGAAATGTTCATTATTGAGCTGATATCATTTCAAATAATCTATTAAAAACCTAAAGCAGAAATTCTACAAGAAGCTGTGGGATATACTGCACCTTGTTATTTTCCTCTTCGTACTCATCACTGCTGTTATCAGCCATAGTCTTGTTAGGAAGACAGCCAGAATGAGGAAGTCCTTAGAAGAAAAATTTCCATTTTAGGTTACTATTTAAATGATTTTTAAAAACCAATAGTTTTAGTTTATAATATTTTATGCTTTAACTATTCTATGGACAGGATTTTTAAGAATGGCTGTATCAATTCAATTCAAATTATATTTACTAAACATTACTGTGCTTAAAGGATTGGGTTAGATGTTATACTAAATGATTATCTTCCACTCTACAATATAATTTTATTAAATTAGTATAATAGGGTTGGGGCTGGAGCTCAGTGTGAGGCACTGGGTTCAATCCTCAGCACCACATAAAAAATAAATAAATAAAGGTTAAAAATAAATAAGTAAATTAGTATAATATGGTCACTATCATATTATAGCATATTATTATTATTAGTTTTTTCATTGGCAAAATGAGGTAAGTGATTAGAAAGTGAGAAGAGTGATGGATTAATTCAGAAGACTGGATATGATAGAAAACTCTCTCACTTGGACAAAATGCCTTAATCTCTCTCAATCTCATTATTCCCATCTCTAAGTATGGTCAGTAATATTTCTTACCCAGGACTGTTGCAAGGATCAAGTGATAAACCTTACACAGAAGGAAATAAACTAGAGCCTGGCAAATAATGGATAGTTATAAATTTGAATCTGAATCAGTATCTGTAACAGTAATAAAAATATTCTTAACAATTAAAGTATAATCAGATATAAGGTATAAACTGGCATGAAAACTTGTTAGATGACTCTAAATCAAGTAAATGCAAATTATTATTTTTTTTAAGAGAGAGAGAGAGAGAGAATTTTAATATTTATTTTTTAGTTTTCGGCAGACACAACATCTTTGTTATGTGGTGCCGAGGATCGAACCCGGGCTGCACACATGCCAGGTGAGCACGCTACCGCTTGAGCCACATCCCCAGCCCAGTAAATGCAAATTAAACACCATTTTTTGGCTTACTAAATTAGCCAACTGAAAGGAAGTTATAATTTCCACAGCTGGCAAGAGTATAAAGATGTTCAAGTCAAAAACCTGGTGACTAGATACATATTCAGTATAACTGAAAAAGAGACTCAAACAGACACTTGTACACCTCTGTACATAGCAGCAGTATTCTCAACAGCATAAAGGTAAAAACAACCCTAGTATCCATTAAGAGATGAACAGATAAACAAAGTGTAGCATATCCATACAACAGAATATGATTCAGCCATAAAAAGGAATGAAGTTCTGAGACACACTATAGCATGAATGAACCTTGAAACATTTTACTACGTGAAATAAGTCAGCCACAGGCCTGGTATGGTGGCCCACACTCTACTTCCAGCTACTTGGGAGTGTAAAGCAGGAAGATTGTAAGCTCGAGGTCAGACTGGGCAACATGGTGACACCTGCCTCAAAATAAAACAAAAGGGCTGGGGATGGGGTTCAATCCCCAGTACTGAAAAAGAGAAAACGAAAAGAAAGAAAGAAGTCATGAAAGGACAAATACAATATGATTGCACTTATGAAGTATGCAGAATAGGTAAATTGTAGAAACAAAGTGAATAGTGGACCAGGGACTCAGAAGAAAGGCATCAGGAGTTACTGTTCAATAGGTTGGCATGATGAAAAAGTTCTGGAGAAATAGGCAGTACTGACAGTTACCCAACATTGTGAAAGCACTTAATGCCATTAACTTTATACTTAAAAAGATTAAAGGGGGGCTGGGGATGTGGCTCAAGCGGTAGCGCGCTCGCCTGGCATGCATGCAGCCCGGGTTTGATCCACAGCACCACAAACAAACAAAGATGTTGTGTCCACCGAAAACTAAAAAATAAAAAAAAGATTAAACGGGCTGGGTGTAGTGGCGCTCGCCTATAAACCCAGTGGCTTGGAAGGCTGAGGCAGGAGGATCACCAATTCAAAGCCAGCCTCAGCAAGAGCGAGGCACTAAGCAACTCAGTGAGACCCTTTCTCTAAATAGAATACAAAATAGGGCTGGGGATGTGGCTCATTGGTTGAGTGCCCCTGACTTTAATCCTTGGTACCAAAAAATAAATAAATTTTAAAAACAGTAACATAAGCCATGGTGGCCCATGCCTGTAATCCCAGGGGCGTGAGAGGCTGCGGCAGGAGGATCAAAGCCAGCCTCAGCAGCAAGGCCCTAAGTAACTTCAGACTGTCTCTAAATAAAATATAAAATTACTGTGGATGCGGCTCTATGTTAAGTGCCCATGAGTTCAATACCCGGTACCAAAAAATGAAAAAAAAAAAAAACTCCAAAACAAACAAACAAACAAAAAAGCAACATAGCTGCTAAAGGGTGCTTGTTTTGTTTTGGCCTGGGATTGTGGCTCAGTCATAGAGGCACCATGTGTGAGGCACTGGGTTTGGTCCTCAGCACCACATAAAAATAAATAAATAAAATAAAGGCATTGTAGCATCTACAACTAAGAAAATTTTATTAAAAAAAGAAAGTTTGGGCTGGGGTTGTGACTCAGAGGAAGAGCACTTGCCTAGCATACGTGAAGAACTGGGTTCGATCCTCAGCACCACATAAAAATAAATAAATAAAATAAAGGCATTGTAGCATCTACAACTAAGAAAATTTTATTAAAAAAAGAAAGTTTGGGCTGGGGTTGTGACTCAGAGGAAGAGCACTTGCCTAGCATACGTGAAGAACTGGGTTCAATCCTCAGCACTACATAAAAATAAAATAAAGGTATTGTTTTTACCTATAACTAAAAAATGTTTTAAAAAAAAAAGTTTACTTGTTTTGTCTCCTGCCTACCTCTCTAATCTAACCATATGCCACTTTCCTCTCCCATATGATGGACTCTTCTCCTTTTATCTTCCCTGACTACCCTATCAAAAATACATTCCCTTGACAGGTGTAGTTGTATATATCTGGAGTCCCAGCAACTCAGGAGGCTGAGACAGGAGGACTACAAGTTAGTGAGATGCTGTCTCAAATTTTTAAAAAAGGGGGCTGGGGTGTAGCTCCAAGTGGTAGCGCACTTGCCTAAGTGGGGCACTAGGTTCAATCCTCAGCACATTTGGAAAAAAAAATTATTCATATATATATATAAAGGTAGTGTGTCCATCCACAACTTAAAAAAAAAAATTAAGGGCTGGAATGGGCTGGAGATATAGCTCAGTTGATACAGTGCTTGTTTCCCATGCACAAGGACCTGGGTTCAATCCCCAGCACCACAAAAACAAACAAATAAGCAAACACAAAAAGGCTGGGGATCTGGCTCAGTGGTTAAGCATCCCTGGGTTCAATCCCTGGTACCAAAAAAAGATCTCCTTCCTCACCATTATTTTCCTTAACAGCAATTTGCCTCCATCAATGCACTTATCACATTTGTAGCCATGTTTATTTATTAATTCATTTATCATCTTTCTCCCATGAGTACAAGCAGAAGGATGGAGGGACAATGTGTCTTTTGTTTAACACTGTATATCCAGTGCCAGGCATAAGGTTGGCATGACATAGAGTAGGCATTCAAAAATGTTTATTAATCCCATTATTATGTAAAATTATAATGCACAAAAAAAAAAACTTTGTTGAGCCAGATCCAGATGTGGTGGTATGCACCTGTATTTGGGTGGCTGAGGCAGGAGGATCCATTTAAGCCCAGGAGTTCAACACCAGCCTGAAAAACATAGTGAGACTCCGATCTTTAAAAAAAGAAAAATGTTTGTTGAATAAATGAATGGTGTCAAATCATCTAAAACTATTCTGTTGATATTTTGGCTAGGGTTGCTGATTAAGGGCAGAAGCAGTGTAAAAAACAGTTTTGAAAAGTTAAAACAACAGCTACAACAGGGACTAGAGCTCAGTAGTAGACTGCTTGTCTAGAATGCAGGAGGCCTGAGTTTGATGTCTAGCATCACAAATAGCAAATGCTTTAGATCAGACCATAAGCTGAGTACTAACATGAAGTAGGGTTGGGTTAAGGAAGATCCTGCAATTAACAAGCTGTGATTTCTCCCTCCTTAACTAGTTAGAAAACAGAAACAAAGGCAAATGAAGTAACTGACTCTGAAAGTCAAAATTTGCTATTACAAATCAGGAACTTGAGACAAACATGAAATCCATCCTGCTATTTGTTTTAACAACCATTTCTCTTCTTTCCTCTTCATTCTTCTCTTACCTTGCTGCCCTGGGGCTGGAGTACAAATACTTGCAACCTCTTCGGGGTCGTTAACCTCTATACGTTCATCATATGCCTGATTCTCAACAATCTTGGTCTAAGCAAAAGGAGATATGATTACTGCCAGGAAATGCCTTCCAAACCATCATGGTTTCCTCCTCCTCACCCAAGACACCAATTCTACATAAAACCTTCGACCCCATCCCAAACTTTCCTTAAGACTGCTTGGCCCCAGTTCAAACAATTCAGCCATTCTGCTGTAGCCCTTGTGTAGGAACTGCCAGCAGGCTGGCTGAGGACCGAGGGAATCTTGGAGGGAAATGACTTCTCTAGCAGCTCCCGCAAAGCTGTTAGATGTACATGCAAAGGCAGACAGCGGCTTTCTTCCCAGGTTCGGTCATTTTTCCAAAAGCTGTTGGGTTTTCTCAGGGGAGGTTATAGAGGTTCTAGAAACAATTCTGTCTGGTGGTCACCTCTGGGACCGGGCTGAGGGTGGGGGCGGTGTCCCGAAGAGAGGGTCAACTCCAGTCTCTCTATGGGTCCCACTGAGTAATCCAAAAGCGTCACCTCCATCTTCACTCGTTTTGCAGATAAAATTCCACTTAAGTTTCGTGAGGAGTAAAAGAAACAGGACAGTTGGTAGTGGGGTGGGGAAGGGGAAGAAGAGTTGTCATAGAGATGGCAAGAGGCGTCCTGTTGGGAGGGAGGAAGGTAGTTTCCTTTCCGCTGGGGTGAGTACGAATTACCTGGAGCCCTTCTGAATCCGTCTCCTCTATATGGAAAGAACCCCAGCCTAGGACTGGGGTCTCACTCCAATCTCACAACAGGCCACTTCAAGGATTCTACTAGGAGCAACCGGCCTGTTCTCAGTCGCTAGGTAAAATGGAAAAAAAAAAAAAAAGAAAGAAAGAAAGAAAGAAAAAACCGCGAGACTTGGTCCTACTATCGTGAGATCTCTCCCATTCACCCGCACTTACGCCTCTTCCAGCGTAGGATCTCTATTCGCCGGAAGGAGATCAAAGAGCCCAAATGAAGCCTCTCTGGGCGTTTTGGGCGGCCAACTCTCCTGTTTGTCTATGTTTTCAGCAAATGCTTCTGTTGCGCCACCTAGCGGCCATATGTTGCAGAGCTGGTTTATTAATTTCAGCCCTCCAATTGAAAATCATTATGTTTTTCCCTGTTTAAGAGCAAGGATCCTGAGGAATGCGTTTTATCCTAGATCTGTCTAATCAGAATTTAGACATACTTTCCAGTTATTCCAAACATTTTTCCCCCCGGTGCTAAAGATCAAACCCAGTACCTCACCCGTGCTAAGCAAGTGCTCTACCATTGAGCTACACATTCCCAGCCCCTCCACTTTTAAGGTTCTTTTTTTTAATATTTATTTTTTAGTTATAGGTGGATACAATATCTTAATTTTATTTTTTATGTGGTGCTGAGGATCAAACCCAGTGCCTCACACATACAAGGCAAGCGCTCTTCCTCTGAGCCACAATCCCAACCCCTTAAGGTACTTTTATGGCTTTTATGTTATTTTATACTCCTTGGTTCCACGGTGTCCCATTACAGAGGCATACTTACACTAACAAATTATTCCTCCTTTATCTGAGATTCAAACTTAACCGTATCCTGGTGTTGTTTGTTTATTTGTTTGTTTTGTTTTTGGTGCCGCGGATTGAACTCAGGGATGCTTAACCACTGAGCCACATCCCAGCCCTTTTTGGTTTTGTTTTGTTTTGTTTTTGGAGGTACCAGGGATTGAACTCAGGAGCACTTGACCCCTGAGCCACATCCCCAGTCCTATTTTATATTTTATTCAGAGACAGAGTCTCACTGAGTTGCTTAGCACCTCGCTTTTGCTGAGACTAGTTTTGAACTCGCGATCCTCTTGCCTCAGCCTCCAGAGCCGCTGGGATTACCACCGCGCTGGGCCGGGCCACATATTTTTATTTACTAAAAATTCATRTGAGTTTAAGGCAGGATCTGATTGTGTTTGTTAATTTTTATTTATTTTTTTTACTTTATTATTGCATAATAAGTAACTTTAAAAGTGCTTTTTGGATAGAGTGAGGTGGCACACATCTACAATCTCAACTACTATGGAGGCTGAAGCAGAAAGATCCCAATTTCAAGGGCAGGCACAACAATTTAGCTAGACCCAGTCTCAAAATAAAAAGGGCTGGGCCAGGCTTGGTGGCACATACCTGTAATCCCAGTGGACTGAAGCAGAAGGATGGCACCTTCAATGCCAGCCTCAGCAATTTAGTGAGGCCCTAAGCAACTCAGTAAGACCCTGTCTCTAAAATAAAAAAAAATTGAAAGGGCTGGGGATGTGGCTCAGTGGTTATGTGCCCCAAGTTCAATCCCTGATACAATAAATAAATTAAATTTAATTTAAAAAATTAAAAAGACTAGGGATATAACTCAGTGGTAAAACACCCCTGGGTTCAAYCCCTGTACTCAAAAGAACAATACAGGCAGGTGGAGAGTGTAGTTCAGTGGTGAGTTCAATCCCTAATAACTAAGAAAGGGAAGAGAGAGTCTTAATTTTTTTGCAAGGGGTTGGAGGGATGGCAGGAATTCAACCTAGGGGTGTTTAATCACTGAACCTTATCCCCAGCCATTTTTATATTTTATTTTGAAACAGGGTCTCACTAACTTGCTTAGGGCCTCATTAAATTGCTGAGGCTGGCCTTAAATTTGAGATCCTCCTATCTCAGCTTCACAAACCCCTGGGATTACGGGCATGCACCACATTTAATTTTTTAATTGGTGCCTAAAAATTGTACATATTTCTGGAGCACCAGGTGATGTTTCCATACATATATACATTGTGTAATTTCAAATCAAGGTCTCCTCATTTATCTTTCTCCTCATTTATCATTTCTTTGTTTTGAAAACATTCAAAATCCTTTCTTCTAGCTTTTTTGGAGTATACAGCACATAGCACATTATTGTTATCTGTAATGATTCTACCAAAATTCAGTTCTGCAAGGTATAGTTTAGTACCCATTGACCAATATTTCCCACTTGCTTTCTCCCTCCTATTATTCTCAGCCTCTGTTAACAACTATTCTACTCTCAACTTGTATGAAGTCAATATTTTTAGATTCCAAATATATGTGAGATTAAGTGGTCTTTGTCTTTCTGTGCCTGGATTTTTCACTTAACAGAATGTTCTCCGGTTTCATCCATGTTATAGCAAATGACAGAATTTCATCTTTTTTATGGCAGTGTGTTGCGGGGGTGGGGTGGGGGGGGGAGGTACCAGAAATTGAGCCCAAGGCCTTGCACATGCTAGGGAAATACTCTACCACTGATCTACATCCCCAGTCCTCTGTATATACGTACCACATTTTGCCCTGCATCTTGGTGCAGGTCTATAACCCCAGCATTCAGAATGATAAGGTAAGAGGATCGAAAGTTTAAGGTCAGTGTCAGCAATTTAGCAAGACTCTAAGTCTCAAAAACAAAACTTAAAAATTAAAAAAGGCTTTTTTACGTGACTCAGTAATTAACTGCCCCTAGGTTAAATCCCCTGTACGGGGAAAAAAATCGTATATACTTCATTTTACTTTATACGTTTACTGGTTAATGGACACAGGTTGATTCCATTTATTTATTTATTTGTTTGTTTGTTGTAGATGGACACAATACCTTTATTTATTTATTTTTATGTGGTACTAAGGATTGAACCTAGTGCCTCACATGTGCTAGGCAATAGCTCTACCACTGAGCCACAACCCCAGCCCCAATTCCATTTCTTTGCTATTGAAAGTCACCTCTTCTGAGACTTCTAGTTTAAAATGGAACTGTAGGGGCTGGGGTTGTGGCTCAGTGGAAGAGTGCTTGCCTAGCATGTGTGAGGCACTGGGTTTAATTCTTAGCACCACATATAAATAAAGGTCCATTGACAACTAAAAAATATATTTTAAAAAATTAATTAAAAAAATAAAATGGGGGGCTGGGAATGTGGCTCAAGCGGTAGTGCACTTGCCTGGCATGCCTCAGCACCACATACAAACAAAGATGTTGTGTCCACTGAAAACTAAAAAATAAATATTAAAATTTTTCTCTCTGTCTCTCTCTCTCCCTCTCTCTAAAAATAAATAAATAAATAGATAGATAAATAAATAAATAAAATGGAACTGCAGGATTGAGGATGTATTTCAGTGGTAGAGCACTTGCTTGGTGTGTTTGAGGTCCTGAGTTCAGTCCCAGCACCACACACAACACACACACACACACACACACACACACACACACCCCTACAAATTTTTTTTCTATTTGTTATGTGTTATTCCCCCTAATAAAATATATATGTATGTATGTGTATGTATGTATATATATATATATATATATATATATATATATATGAGCATTCACTATGTGGGAGCACTTAGAAATTATATAATCTATTCTGTATTTTCTAGCTTCCTAAATTTATGAGATAGATGTCACTGCCAATTTACAGATCAGGTAATTAAGGCTTAGAGAGTTAAAATAACTTGCCTAGTCACTCAGCTAGAAAGTTCTGAAAACAGGTTAGTCTGACTCCTAAGTCTTTCCTAAGTCTTTGCTTTAAACCATTATAATATACTGCCTCTTAGGCACTCCTTGCAAAACCTGCTTGCAGGGATGCATTTCCTCCTTCAATTTAGTTCAGCTATCATCACATTTCCAAAGAATCAGCATCAGTCGGTATTTCATTTATTTATTTATTTGGTGGGGATGGAACCCAGGTTGTGGTGAATGCTGGGCAAGCACTCTGCCACTGAATTGCATCTCTTCTGAATTTTATAGTGAAAGCCTTGCAAACTGCCACAACAAGGCAATAATTCTTAAAAGATTTTACTTTTTTAAAATATTGATTTTTTTAGTTGTAGTTAGACACAATGTCTTTTTTTTTTTTTTTTTTAATGTGATGCTGAGATTTGAACTGAGGGCCTCTCACATGCTACCCAAGTGCTTTACCAATGAGTCACAACCCCAGCCCAGGATATTTAGGATATTTCTCTCTCCCTCTCTCTCGCATGTGCTAGGTAAGCACTCTACTTGCTGAGCCACAATCCCAGCCCCCGGATTTTACTTTTTTAAAGACAAGAATTTGTGGGCTGGGGATATAGTTCAGTTGGCAGAGTGCTTGCCTCATATGCACAAGGCCTTGGGTTCAATCCCCAGCACCACAAAAATAAAAAAAGAATTTGTTTATTTTTCTTAAAATATGTAAGTTTTGACCAGGTGTGGTGGTTCATGCCTGTAATCCCAGTGGCTCAGGAGGCTGAGGCAGGATGATTACAAGTTCAAAGCCAGCCTCAGCAACTTAGCAAGACCCTGTCTCAAAATAAAAAAATAAAAAGGGCTGTGGCTGTGGCTCAGTGGTTGAGCATTACTGAATTCAATCCCTTGTACCAAAAAAAAGAAAAAGTGTGTTTTATAACAAAAATTAAAATACAAGTTGACATAAATCCTTCCAGAGATGCAGAGTTTTAAAATATGTCATCATTCCATTGGAGATGGAATTTAAATGAATAAGAGTGGGAAGTCTATAATACAGTGTCTAAGGGTACAGGTTCTGAAGTTGGGATTCTGACATCATTTGAAAATTATCTAGCCATGAGAACTTTGGTAGAATTTTTCCTTTGTACCTTGATTTGCTCAAAGGTGAAATGAAGATAATAATGGTACCTACCTTAGAGAATTCTTATTATCTCACTTATTCCTAGATAATCTGTAAAGAAATTAATGTCTGGTAACTTTTACGTGTGCCATAAGTATTAAGGAATACACAAATAAAAAGAGGCAATGTGTTATAATAAAACAGCTTGATTTGAATCCTGGCTTTACCACTTACTGTCTGTGTAAATTTGGGCAAGTGTTTAACTTC